TTAAATCAAAGACCACCACCGATCGTTTGATTTATATTAAATATAAAAATTTGTTTTGTAAGTTATGTAAGGTTTCTGAAAATTTGTACTATTATTATTTGTTTAATAGGGTAAAAAAAAGTGGTAAGAAAACATGGTCTATTTTAAAATCATGTATGGGTTTAAAAAATAAACCGTCATATTTTGTTCTTAATATTAATAACAAACTGGTTACGGATGATTTGAGTTTGTGTGATTGTTTTAATAATAAATTTTCTTCAAATGTTACTTCTGTATGTAATAACGATAGTACTTTATTTAGAAATTATAAACAGTATTGTAATGTTAATATGGCTAATTCATTTGTTCTATTTGATTGTTCTGTATTTGATATTCTCGATACAGTAAATAATTTTAATAATTCTAATTCTTGTAATGAAGATTTAATTTCAAACTTTCTTTTAAAATCTACTATAACAAATATTATTTCACCTCTCTGTTATTTAATTAATTTGTCATTTAAGAGTGGATATTTTCCTAAATGTCTGAAGATCTCAAAAGTTATGCCTTTGTTTAAATCTGGTGACCCTCACAATGTTAATAACTATAGACCCATCTCTATCATTTCTAGTCTGTCTAAACTCATTGAAAAAATTGTTTTTCTCCAACTAACTAATTTTCTGAATTCTAATAATTTACTAATCTTTAATCAATATGGATTTCGTGCTAAGCATTCTACTGAATTTGCAATAGCCGATGTAGTTAACTTCGTTTCTAATGCCTTAGAGTCTAAAAAGTTTTCAGTTGGTGTCTTTCTTGACTTTTCAAAAGCCTTTGATTCACTAGACCATACTATTTTATTACATAAATTATCTATGTACGGTGTTAGAGGTGTTGCTTACAATTGGTTTGTTTCATACTTGAGTGAAAGGTATCAATATGTTCAGATTAATAACTCCAAATCTTCTCTTACACCGATCACTACTGGTGTGCCTCAAGGCTCTATCCTTGGACCTTTACTTTTTAATAATTTTATTAATGATTTTGTTAATTGTTCAACAATTTTAAAATTCATCCTTTTTGCTGATGATTCAACTTTATTGTTATCTAATTCAAATGTTAATCAATTGGTTTCAATTTTCAATGATGAGTTGATAAACGTGTACAATTGGGTGCAAGCCAATAATTTAAGGATAAATATAGCTAAAACTAATTTTATTTTATTTGGTCCAAAAATTCGCACTAACATTGTTAATATTCAAATTATGTTAAATAATAGTTGCATTAATAGAGTTGAGTCTACAAAATTTTTAGGCATTATTATTTCTAGTAATTTGTCATGGTCTGGTCATATTGAATTTATTTCACAAAAAATAACAAAAAATTTAGGTATAATATATCGTCTAAGATCTAAGTTTCCAAAACATGTACTTATAACATTGTATAATTCAATTGTTTTACCATTTTTTACTTATTGTATTTCTATTTGGGGCTTTACAACAATATCTAATTTACAAATTTTAAATCTCTGTCAAAATTTTTTTATTCGTATTTTGTATGGTTTAACAAAATCTCATCATGTCAGTCATTTATTTATTTCATCTAAAATTTTAAAAGTTTTTCAATTACATATTCTTTATACTTTAACGTTTTTTTATAAACTGTACAAACTCAATTATTGTCCTTCATTACGCAATCAACTAAATCACTTGATGGATGATCGTTCTAGAATTTTAAGAAATACCAGAGACTTTTATTTTCCAAAACCTCGCACAAACTTTTTTATTAACTCAGTTTTTCATGTTTCATGTCGACTCTGGGATTTATTACCGAGTAACGTAAAAAATTCAAACACGCTTAGTCTATTTAAGAATTCAATTTATCAACTGATTTTGGCTGATCACTTTCATTCTTTTATAAATAGTTGAACATTTATTTTTTCTAATTTATATTTATTTATTATCATAATGTTTTTGTTATTCTGAATTTGCATTTTTTTTTCTGCTAGAAGTTGGCAATAACGCTATGTTTATCTCTTATCATAATATAATCTTTATTTTTCAGTTATTATCAACACATTTTTTTTTTTAAATTTGTCGAATTTTTGGTTTAAATGTTTTCTTTTTGGTGGCCCAACAAGTGAAAACTTCGGGTCTCCTAGTAATGTATTTTTTACTTTTACTGAATAAAAGTTTGTTTGAATTGAATTGAATTGAATTGAATATATATATATTAATTAGTTAATTAGTTTAGATAATTGCTTGTGAGTCGGAAGTACTGTTATAATTAGTAGCTGAACATTTAATTTTGGATTTTTTATTTCTATTAATATGGCTTCGGCTATCTTTAAGGTGAAATAATCGGATTAATAATAATATATATATATTAGAGCCCCAAGCAGAGAAGATCC